TTCCTATATTCTGTATCTTGCATATGGATACCACTACATCCCCAGTTGCTCAAATTGGAAGCAGAAACCATTCTAGTCTTAGCTCTTTCTCACCCTCCAGTTGGCCACCAAGTCCTATAGAGTCTACTTTTAAATAATTCTTGAATCCGCCCAAAGTTCTCATTCTGACTGTTATGTCCTTGACTCAATCTGTTATTACCTTTTACCTGGTTTCATCCAATACTTTTCTATCTGGTCTTCCTTCCTCTCTGGGCTTTCTCCTCCAATCTCTTCTCCACACTGCTACTGGGGATCCTCTCAGAACGTAAATCTAGTACTTTTTCCACTGCTTAAGCCTCTTCTGGGGACAATGGTGGTTCTGTGGTAGAATTCTTGTTTTTCATGGAGACCCAGATTTGATTACAAGCCAGTGTACCTCAAGCGCAGCCACCACCCATCTGTCAGTGGAAGATCGTGTGTTGCTATGATGCTGAACAGGTTTCAGCAGAGCTTCCAGACTAAGAAGAAAGGCCTCTGATCTACTTCTGAAAATCAACCAGTGAAAACCCTGTGGATCACATGGTGTTGTGCGCGGGGTTGCCATGAGTCAGGGGCGACCCGCAGCAGCTAACAACAAACCTCTTCTAAGGTTTCCCTTGGCCCTCAGGATAAAGTCCAAACTCTTTCCTGTGGCATAAAAGTCATCTGGGATGACTTTTCAGCTTTATCTCACAATACCTTTTCAGCTTTATCTCTCATCTCCTCCCTTCCTAGGCTGTTCAGCCTTGATGAACTAACTGGCAGTTTCCCAAACATGACAGGCTGTTTGAATTCCCTCCAGCCTTCCCTCACTATTCATCTGAAGGAAACCTATTTTTACTCAAAAGTCAGTTTTAGGGTCACTTCCTTACTGAAGACTCTTCTAACAACCACCTCCACACAACCGCCTCTCCTCTCCCCTCCATTACTCCATCATTGCTCATTCTGGGATCCGTTGGGGTTACCTCCCACCACATAGGTGGTATACTTTGCATGTTTGTTTCTCCAAAGACCATATGCATCACAACCCTGTTTTTAAACAATTATTATTTGGTTTTTAAATTTATTTATATATCATTATCACTATGCAGACTCCTGTGTTCCAGACCTACTGAATCAGTCTCTGGACCTAAGCCTAGCATCTGCATTTAAAAAATTTCCTAGGTTACTGATAATGTTCTGTTTCCTGACCAGGTGCTGCTTACATGAAATATTTATTTGTACAAAATTCATTGAAATGTGCCTTTAGGATATGTGTACTTTTCTGTATGTATGTTATTTTTCAGTAAAAAGTTAAAAAGGAAAGACTCCCTAGGTTATTCTTAACCTGAGAATGGTACCTGAGAACCATTGACTTATCTGGCTCTCTACTAGATTGTAAATCCCTTGAAGGCAGTGAAGCCATCTATTTTGTCTTTGTATTCCCAGCATCTATTTTAGTGCCTACATCATAGTACACACTTAATAAGTAATTGTTAAATAACTGAATGAATGAATGGAGGGAGAGTTGTGGCTTGTGGATTCCTTTCTCCCTCACTCTCTTCTAAACATTTGTTTCATGTTCCTGCTGGAGCACTTGATATCTCATGCCTCAAAGTTACACCACCAACACATGCCCATGAATAAACCTGCGAGATGGCATCTGGCTTCCTCCCCACCATGCACAGGGTGTTACTGATGCAGTGTGCCAGCCTGACAAGAGGGGAGAAAGAAAGCAGGTAGAGGACGTTCTGTCCCCAGAACCAGCTACTTCTGCCCTGCCTGGGTCTGAGCCACCTGGCTCAAGACTCCTCACCACGCGTGGGAATCAGGCTGGAGAGAATATGTCCCTGGAGATACTGCAATGCCAAGCTTCTATCTGCATCTCCACTGTGATTTTTAGCAAATTCAGTGAGTGGGTCCGGGTGAAATATCACCTATGTTACTCATCCAGTCATAAATAATTACTAAGAACCAAAGATACACATACCCTTCCTTAGTGGAGCTTACAGTCTAGTGGGGGAGACAGGCAATCAATATCTAATCTTTTTTTAATAGTACTTAGGATATGCTGAGCACTGGTTTTTACATACATTAATTCATTTATTCTTTACATATATTAATCCATTACATCATTGTAACAGCTTAGTGATGTCCTATTATTATTATCCTCATTCTACAAATGAGAAGACTTATGCATTGAGTTACAAACATCATGGTAAGAGTCATGAAGGTAAAGTATAGGGAGGTGGAAGAGGGCTTAGCAGGAAGACCTAATCTAGTCCTAAAGGTCAGGGAAGTTACTTAGATATGAGGTTGAAGGGAAGATCTAAAGGGTAAGTTGGAATCTAGTAGACAAAGAGTTCTGGGTGAAGAGAAATTCAGGCAACAGAAACAGCTGATAGAAAAGGATAATCATTTGTATGAGGAGCTGAAAGGTGGTGGCCAATGTAGTGGCAGCACAGAGCCTAAGATGGGGCAGGAGTGGTAGGCATGGTCCAGATCACTCAGGGTTTTTTTTCTATGTCTTCAAATAGCACGATAAGGTCAAAGAAGCAGAGAGGGAGTTAGGAGAATTAGGGTTTAGTTCCAGCTTTGCTCCAAACAACCCCAACCACTTCTCCATGTCTCAGTTTCCTCATATGAAAAATGAGTGGATGGACCAGAACTTTCATGTGGCTCCTGTCATTCTAAAGCTCTGATTCTAAGCTCTGTTGTAAGGAATCGCCAATCAAATCCTGGACGCTGCTGAATGCATCAAGCCCCAGCTCCTTTGAAGATGTGCTAAATTCGAATGATGGAGAACAATAAATATGGCTCTGAGCATGATTTATTCTCTTCTCTTGAAATGAAGTCTGAACTAATAATAGTGTTGTAAGAATAGCGACCTCTTTTGAGCACTTACTGTGTGCTAAGATTATGCTGGGTACTTTTAGATAAATTTCCTCACAACACCCCTGTTACAGATAAGAAAGCTGAGGCCTCAAGGATTACACAACTTTGGGAAGATCTTCACCACCCAAATCCACCTGCCAGCTGAGCATACCCAGTCCTGTTTCATATGGCCAGGTGTGTTGACTTGATCAATGGCATTCTCTTGTTCTGCTCACTGGCTGAGCTGAACTTTGAACCCAGCTGTTACTCCAAAGCTCATCCTCTTGACCACCAGGCCACGTTGCCTTCCCTTTTTAAACATAGGCAACTCTTTATAAATAAGGTGACATTGTCTCTTGAAGTAGTTTCTGGGTGAGGAAAGTGCTTTTTATAGCTAGGAGTTGCTTTCTGTTTACTTGTTCTCTGGTTAATACTGCCTACAGCTGTGTCCTTCACTGTCCTTACACTGTACTCCTAGGTTTCCTCCCTGCAAGACAACTCCACGAGACCACATGGGGTGTGTGTGCCAGCAAATAAATTTCACACACACACACACACACACACACACACACACACGCACACACGGCGGGGGTGGGGGGAGAGGAGGCAACGTGAGTGACCTTGCAAAGGTATCTAGTCACAAGAGGACAGGATTAGCAAACCTGAAACTTCTGTAAATATTTATTTGGTTTTCCTCTCGCACTCCTACGGAAACTGCACGCTCCTCGAGCTTGCCTTGCCCAGTCCCCTTTCGGTCGTCTCCGCCACACAAAGCCCAACCCGTCCATCTCTTTGCAAACCTAGAGAACTTCAGTCCCCATGTTGAAACTCGGCGGTGGCGGTGGCGGTGGCGGTGGCGGGCACGACTGGGCATGCTCAGTTAGCAGGGACTGGTCTGGAAGGCGAGGAAGCCGCGTTTGAAGTCGCGCGGCTGGGGAATCAGGGGGAGACAGGCGGTGGGGGCCCCGGCTGGGAGTGCGCGGGGATCCCGGGTTCCGCGCCCGAAGTGGGCTTGCTGGAGGCGGCAGCCGCGGGGCTGGCGGGTGGGGGGCAGGGCGTGGAGGAGGGGAGAGAGCCGGTGGGAGAAGGGGAGGAGCGCCGGGCTCGCCATCCCCCGGCGCCGGCTCCGCGGCAGCTCAATCGGAAGCCGCAGGGAGGATCCGGGGAAATAAGGACGCCCGAGAATGACCTCCAGCTAGGCCGCCTGAGCTGGTGCCCGCGCGCTGCCCCGCCAGCCTCCAGCATGGACGACGGCGGCGGGCAGCCGGAGCGCTCGGCCCCGCACGCCTCCG